TTATCATGTTTTACTTATAGGCGCCTGACTACTCCTATACTAATAACTCTTCCGGGAAACATACCCCACATCCCGTTGGATATCATACATACCCCACACCACTATGGGTGTAGTCATACCCCGACACCGCTCTGGGTGTGGTCATATCTCTTGAAAAATCTTCAGTCACCACCACATGAGAGGTGTGACTATCATACTTATCATAAAAGAGTAATAGCATAGGGAGCCCTAACTACTATGTAATTGACCATGAGACCACAACACTCATATTTGGTATCCTTATACATGATTCATATCTCATCTTGCTTAATCATAATTCGTTACTTGCACATGTACTTGACCTGGCCATAATTGGCTCAGCATAGGTAAACATGAGTCATATAATTGCAATTCCTAGAGATGAACCCTCATGCAAGTCATCCTCCTTAAACATCATAATATCACCCTGGGATATATATATACATATATTCCCACTTGTGCATCCGAATACAACAATAATGAAATATCATACCCAATCACCTTCTCAAACCATCATAAGGCATATCAACAGTCAAGCCCACAATTTGCGACATATACACAATCACCAGCACAAACAAGGTCCATAAGGATTAGGGAAAGACAATGATATCATATAGCACAAAAGTCAATACACCCCTAATCATGCCATTCTAGTTCACCTAGGTAAATTCTAAGCATCAATATAATTATCATGACATGACAAACCCAGTATGCTGTGCTAATCCCTCACTAGTTCTAGTCGTTCAAACACCAGTTTTAGCTTCGCATACTAAAACTTCAGTTTCACAAACAAACCCATAATCAAAATTCGAGACCATCCTAATATCCCCTCGTTGCAATAAGCTCGTATGAAACAACCCGATCTTTTTGTGAAAAAAAAAATCAAAATCAAACCAAAATTTTAAAACAAAAACCAGTTACTCTGCAATGCCCTCCTTGCCTTCATTGCCCCACCTCTGCTTGATCAATATGAACTCCCTTTGCTTGCCGAGACGGTAGGCCTCGGGCACAAAGTGGTCGCGGAATCTCTGCACCAGCTCTGACCAGGTGATGGCTGGTGGGTCCACTCGGCTGGCTGGTTGGGTTTCCCACCAATTGTATGCCGCATCTTGTAGTAGGGATACCATCAGCAGTACCCTATCCTCATCATCTGCCCGCATTTCGGTCAACGTGCGCGTGACCTTTGCCAGCCATTTCTCCACCTCACTTGCATCCGTCGAGCGATCCCCATCAAAGTCTACTACTCCTCTCCTCCGGAAAGCTATGTAATCCGGGGGGTTCCTAGCCGCCACGGGATTAACATGCACGTTACTTGCTCTGCAAGTAAGTAGTACTCTTGTTAGAACCACATTTATTTGTCTTATCATGCTTGAGTATACTGGAAACTCTATAAACCTCTTCAAATCGGTTGGCCAACCATTGTTTTTTTTAAATTTCCTTTTTCCTTTAAAACTGGACCTTTGAAAACTCAGATCGTCATTCCAGTATTTCTTGGAGACCAAGAAACAGAGGAATGCCGGCTCTGATACCAAAATGAAACAACCCGATCTATTTGGGAAAAAAAATCAAAATCAAACCAAAATTTTAAAACAAAAACCAGTTACTCCGGAGCAATCCAAACCATCTTTTTAAGTCAAACCAAAAATTAACCAACGACAATAACCAAAAATCTCAAACGAAAAGCCCTGAACAGTTGGGCAAATCTCAATCCAAACATTTGAACAGAAAACCTGAGTTTCCTAGTATACTCATAGGACAAGAAATAAAGACAAATATGATAAAAAGGGTCCCATCTCAATACCCTGATCCTTCCGACATCCTCACGCTTGACGCGGCTGACCTCCTTGATTAATCTCCTGGTGCTGGTTATGCCCTCTTCCCCTTTCCACACCTGGTGAGTGAGAAGGGGTCAGTCTCGTCGTTACTTTCTAAGGTCTTTGCCTAAGCAAACCTTACTAACACATTATTAGAAACTACTTTCTCTTACATGAAAGCCGTTCTCGCTTTCATCCTTAATATTTTAGTCCCTGACAGCTCATAGAAGTTCTGTACTTCTATCTTAATTTATATACTTATTACTAGGGTTCACCGCGTTACGTATCGCCGTCCGGTGTCCCTATCCTCAAGGCAATGGTACTGCGTTACGTTTCGCCGTCCAGTCCATGCCCGGTCAACTACTGCGTTACGTATCGCCGTCCAGTAGTGACCCGACCATCTACCGCGTCCAGTAGTGGCCCAACCGCCCGGGGGTTCCTCATACCATCAACCATACGCATAAACACACACACATGCATAGCACAACGCGTGCCTCCACCTTGAGTAGGCGGTGGGATGCCTCACACACATAATCGCGCTTACTTGAAAATTAAATAACATAACTTAATTAAAAAGGCATAAACTAAAAGACCTCGACGGAGATTTTACCCCCTTTACACTCACCTCTTTAGTGCCGATAATTTACTTCCTTTGACGTGTGGTCCCTTAATTTGATCGCCTCCTTGAACCTACAATTCGAGATTAAATTTTCCTTAGTCGCTATTCCGCCAAATTTTCCGTTCTCCTCGCTTAGTCCCATAATTCTTAAAAATGCATTAACTCATCCTAACTAATTAAATAATCCTTTGCATGTGACTAAGAACTTGGCAAAAGAGGGAAATTGGATAGAGAAATATCTCCACAATAGTAAGAAGGATATCCCCAAATTGATGTAGGAGAAATCAATGACCAACATCTAATGCAATGAAATCGATGCTTAATCCAAAATGATGGAGATAATGAACTTTATGTGGTTGGGGACTTTTCACAAACACTTGATGGGTGGTAGTTGAAGATGACATAAATGCATGGGGACAACCCACCAAGGCATCAAAAATGACATAGAGGGTTCATTAAAGAAAAGAAAAACAATTTCATACCATCAAGATGTCATTCAAAGTAGAAAATGGGCATTAAAGACTCTAAGCCATCAACACATATTGTGCAAGATAAGATAATTAAATAGAGTCAAACAAGGAAAAATGTACCTTATCTTGCTAGGGGACATGACAGGAATCCAAAATAAATAGAAAATCCTTCTTAAAAGTTGTTGAAATATGAGATTAAACAGTCCCAGCCAGAATCAGAGTATGGATGATTTTGGCAGGTGGATAACAGATATGCGCCTGATTGATCATAGTACAATTGGGACTTGGTTCACTTGGTGGAACAAGCAATCTGCTAATCCAATTGCTAGAAGAATTGATCGTGCTTTAGTTAATGAAGAGTGGCTGGATGTTTTTAAGGGCAGTATGGTGAAGACTTTGGCGCCCGGGGTTTCGGACCACTGTGGACTATTGGTGCATACAGATCCTGCAACCTCTTCCTTGCCAAAGCCGTTCAAGTTCTTCACCTTTTGGAGACAGCACCCACAGTATCAAGATCTACTGGAGGAGGTGTGGCAAGTGGAGATTAGAGGTGTTCCATATTTTCAGTTATACCAGAAATTGAAGGCGTTAAAGCTGAAGTTGAAGGGGCTTAATCGTTCTCAGTACTCTGAAATTTCTGTCAGGGCTAGAGAAGCAGAGGCTAAGTTGGAGGCAATGCAACAGGCAGTGTTGGCTGATCCTTCTACTGACCTTGCTAATGCAGTAGTGGACCAGGAGGAGGTTTGTAGAGGGTTGCAGAAGGCGGAGGAACAGTTTTATAGGCAGAAATCGAGAATAAGACGGATCACTGAGGGAGATTCAAATACTAAGTATTTCCACAGTATGGTTAAAGTCAGGAATCATAGACAGACAATTCACAAACTTGTGTCTGAGGAAGGGGAGGTGATTACAGAGGTGAAGGCGATGGGGCAGTTAGCTGTTGATTTTTACAAGGGGTTGCTTGGTCAGGCTGATTCCGCAGTGCAGGACATGCCTTTATCATACTTTGAAAGTCTCCTTAATCACAAGCTTGGGGAGGCTGATGTTCAGACTCTGTTGGTTCCTGTTACCAGAGAAGAGATTAAGGCTGTCTTTATGGGGATGGGGAATGATAAGGCACCGGGTCCAGATGGGTTTACTGCTGAGTTTTTCAAATTGGATTGGGGGGTTGTAGGTGAAGCAGTGGAAGATACAGTCCTCAGTTTCTTTCAGACTGGTATAATGCCTCGGCAGGTAAATTCTACCATTATTGCTTTGATTCCTAAGCTTGAAGTGGTGGATAAAATGAAAAATTTTAGGCCAATTTCTTGTTGTAATGTGGTCTATAAGGGAATATCAAAGCTGTTAGCTAATAGGCTCTCCTTAGTGTTACCTAAGCTAATTGGAGTTAGTCAATCTGCTTTTGTTAAGGGTCGATTGATCAGTGATAATATTCTAATGGCTACAGAGCTTGTTAAGGATTATCATAGGGCCTCAATCTCATCAAGATGTGTGTTGAAGATTGACTTGATGAAAGCGTTTGATTCAGTAGATTGGAATTTTCTATTGAAAGTTATGGAGGCTATGAATATTCCTATGAGTTTTATCAGGTTAATTAGGGCTTGTGTCACCACTCCCATGCTGAGTGTGGCGTTTAATGGGGGGTTATGTGGGTATTTCCCAGCAGGCAAGGGGTTAAGGCAGGGGGATCCACTGTCCCTCTACCTTTTCACCATTGCCATGGAAATTTTCTCATGTATGCTTGCTAGGGATGTGTCACAAAACCTCATTCCATATCATCCAAGGTGTAAGAGTCTTGAGCTCACCCACCTATGCTTTGCGGATGATTTGCTGGTTTTCTCCAATGGATCAGTCAGGGCAGTTGCAGGGGTGCAGAGGTTGCTTGACAAGTTTTATCATGTTTCTGGGTTGAGATGTAACTTGGCCAAGTGTCAACTGTTCTGTGCGGGTATCTCTAAGGAAGAGCAACAGTGGATTTCAAATATTACTGGTTTCCCTCTAGGAGAGCTACCAGTGAGATATCTTGGGGTGCCTCTCCTCTCAGGTAGACTGTCAGCTCAGGATTGTAATATATTGGTGAACAAGATTACTAAGAGGATTACGACCTGGCAAGCTAAAACCCTTAGCTATGCAGGGCGGATTCAATTAATTTCTTCTGTTATTACCAGTGTATTTCAGTATTGGATGGCGGTTTTCCTCTTGCCAATGCGAGTCTTGAAGTCTATTGAGGAGGTGTGTAACAAATTCTTGTGGGGGGTTGGAGTGAATGGGCGAAAGAGAGCACCAGTGTCCTGGTCCAGGGTTGCTATGCCTAAAATGGAGGGTGGATTAGGGATCAGGGACTTCAAAACATGGAACAAAGCATGTGTTTTAAGGCATTTGTGGAATTTGCTTGCTAAGGCTGGTTCACTATGGGTTGCTTGGATCCAGAAGTATAGGATCAAAGGGAATGATTTATGGGGGATTGCTGCAAACTCTGTAAGCTCATGGGTGTGGAAGAAGGTCCTTAAATGCAGGGAAGTGGCTCATGATCATGTGACTGGGACAGGTAGTAGCCTGACTTGGGATGGAAAGAAGTTGGTGAAGTATTCAGTTAAGACTGTTTGGAATTCCATACGTATCCCCTCCTCTTCAGTTGACTGGTTCTCTGTGTTATGGGGTAAGCCATTTATAATGAAGCACAGTCTATTGGTCTTGTTGGTGGTTCTAGATAGAATTACTACGAAGGATCACCTTGCTAGCTGGGGCTTGACAGATGTGAATAGCTGTGTTTTATGCCCTGGTGGACTTGAAAGCAGGGATCATCTTTTTTCCTTGTGTTCGTTTAGTAAAGCTGTCTTTCAAGTTGTGTTGAAGAAAATTTGCAGGTGGCCGGATTTCACAGATTGGAGTTCCCATTTGAGATGGGTGGTGCAGCGATGGTAGGGTACAACTTCGGCTGCTAAGATTGGGCGGTTATTGTGGGTGATGTGTTGTGCTTACATTTGGAGGGAAAGGTGCACTCGCGTCTATGGAGTCAAGCGAATTTCAGACCCTTCTCAACTTTCAGTTGCTGTTATGCAGGAGTTCGAGATATATGCTAGTAGTACTATAGAATTACAGAAAATGGCATCAGTTGTAATGAGCTGATAGGGTTTTGATTTCTTTTGGTTGGCATAGATATTAGTATAGGTTTACTGTGTAAAGAATGTTGATCTTTTGAGAGGGTGATGCGAGTTGCATCTCCCTGGGCTTTCAATGCAATTTTGATTAACCATAAAAAAAAAAAAATATGAGATTAAAGAAGGTGGGTTCAAAAAGTCAAGAGAGTTGGAGAGTAATGACATATAGATCTAGAGAACGGTGAAAAAGTGAATGCACTTAGATCTAAAGAGGCTGGCAATGCTTAAATAGGGACGGAAAAGATCGCGGGCTGGGCACCCAAGATCGCGGTCGCAATCTTTGCCATGTTCAGGACAACTCATTTTCTCCACGTCTCTTAGTTTAAACATTCATCTAAATATTCAATCAAGCATCCAAAACAAATACTAAGTCTTATAAGCATCCAAAAGAAATACTAAGTCTTATCGATCAATTTCAATGCACCTCTAATGTACTAGCTATGCTACTATTTAATTAAAACGAAAAGGAAAGGGAAAAGATACGCAAACCGAAGTGTTGGGTTGCCTCCTAACAAGCGCGTCTTTAAAAGTCTTTTCGCCGGACTTGACTTGTCGTGAAGTCCAAGGTGAAGGCCATGGAGTCTCTCGGATGCCTCGACCAGTGCTTGAGATAGAAAGGATCCATTTGAGAATTAAATTGCAAGATGGTGGTGGTGAGGGTGAGGCTCCTTGATAGAGATGCCATTATCCGTGAATGGCTTGTAGCATTCCCCGAACTCTTCATTTTCAAGAATAGGAGCTAAATCGCCCTTAAATTTTTTTTCCCTTTCTTTAGATGTCTCTCTTCAAAGATAAACCTTCGGAGCTTTCTTCCATGATCACCGGAGAAATGAGAAACTTTGAACAACTCTTGGGTTTGCATTTTGTAAGAAGATTTCTCTTTGCCCGGTTTCTTCATATTTTTTCAAGAATCACTCTCTCCTTCAACTTGAGCATCGTGGGGGTCAACATGGGAAACCATATTGAACCATTCAATTTCGGGACTTGAAGGTGGTGCGGTAGGAGGTGTAACCGGCTCACAATCCATCTTGACATCGTCCCATTTGTAATACTTGTGGAAATTTTGGATTGGAGTCATCTTATAGCTTATCTCCTCTTCAACAAACCTTAATGTGATCTTGCTTCCACTTACATCAATGATAGTTTGTGCCGTAGCTAGAAATGGTCGGTCTAGAATAATCGATGCATCATACCCCTTCGTGTCTAGAACCACGAAGTCCACCGGATAGACAAAATGAGCACACTTTACCAAGATATTCTCTATGATTCCTCTTGGCTCGACAACGGACCTATTGGCTAACTCAATCCGCATTGGAGTAGGAGTGAGTGGTCCAAGGTTCTAATCATTGCATATCCGTGTAGGCATGATGTTGATGCTAGACCCCAAGTCGGCTAACAAGTTCCAAAATGTTCTATCTCCAAACGTGCATGGAATAGTGAAGATTACCGGATCTCATAGCTTGGGAGGGAATCCTACTTACCCAATGGATGTCAATGCAACTTCACAAACGGATACCATAACTACCTCCTCCATTTTCCTCTTTCCTGACATAATTTCCTTCAAGAACTTTGTATACTTAGGGATCTTCAATACCATGTCTAGGAAAGGAACGATTACCTTTAATTGCTTCAATGTGTCCTTCCATGGAGCACATTCATGATAAAGATCGCTTTCAAATAACTGTCTTGGATAAGCCAATAAGGAGCTTTTGATGTTGGCTCGGGTTTATGAGTCTTCTTAGATTTCCCTTATCTTCGACATTGACTTCAATGGAAGGTTGTACTACCTCCCCTGCTTCTTCTTCTTCTTCTTCTTCTTCTTGTTGAACAACTTCTTGGTGCAATTCTCTTACCGGGATCCTTGGAGTTGAAGTAGGAATCTCCTTCAAAAGTCGGCCACTCCTTAGAGTTACCGCATGGCATCCTTCTTTCGGGTTTGGCTCAGTATTTGGGAAGAACGAGAGAGAGAAGAGATTAGGGATTGGGTTTTTTTTATTATTATTGCTTAATTCTCAAAAATAATGAGCTAAATCCTTAAGTAGCAGTAAACCGAAATAATGCAAATTACAAGGTCGCCACTCCTCTCTTGGCCGAGTTCGGCCGGCCCACCCATTCAACCTGTGGTCGGGTTTTCCACATAAAATACGAAAACTTGTAACTAAAATAACATTCTTCTCTCCCAAGCAACTGCCCAGGAAACAGCTCTTCAACCCAACTTCGAGCTCGTGGAAATTAACCTTCTGGGTTGAGTCGGGGTCAGCCAATTCCTTCCCTAAGTTTAGAAAGTTCCACAGCTTCTCTCCCTACTCGAAGCTCCAGCTGATCGTGTCCCCATCTTCGTGAATTCGAGCTCAAAGTTGCTATCTCAAACTGACTTTCTTCCTTAGTAAAAAACAGGCAGATTTCCAGTTGCAAGATAGGGTTTTGCACGACTTGCAATCCAACCATGTTGGCTTCCTTTCCACGATCCAAGTGCACCTAGTTGTAGAGGACCATCCAAGCTTCAAAACAAGACCCTAACATTGCATTTTCATTTATCCAACTGTGAGAACCAAACCTCCAAAGTAGAGCCTCCAAATCTGCTTCAACACTTAACCAATTTCCAGCTTTATTCTTGTGAGCTTGGTTGGATCTTTCTATGAATAATTGGGACTTACAGATTGATGGAATTGTGATAATATCACCTAGACTCCTCAACTCTTTCCCCCATGTTCGTCAGCATTACTCTGGGAGTGCCCGCCTCATGATTAACTGAATATCAACTTTGATGTTGTCGTTAAAGATTTTGGTTGCTCATATGGCCTAGCTGTGCGTGGCTCAGACAGGCATGTGATGCTAGTCATAGGAGCCCTTCATCAAGGTGTGGTCGACCCCTACCTTGCGGAGCTACTAGCTGCTTAGAGATGTCATTTTAATCATGGCCTCAAGATGTCTGCCACGACTTATTGTAGAAGGTGATTCCGAAGTACTGATCCGAAAGCTCAGCCAACGATCGATAGTGTGATTCACTCTGGAGAACTTTGCTTCGAGAATGTCGTCAGCTTCTTGAGTCTTATCCTCTTCGTATGGATTTGAGAATGGTTTTGCAAACTGACAACGTAGCTGCCCATAGAGTGCCACATAAAACCCTATTGTTGTTTCTTTTGATTTTGTTAGATGGCTTTACTAGGGGTTCAAGTTATGGGTAGAGGTTTTTGTCCAACTTTTCTACTAGTTAATAGTTGGAAAAAAGTGCAACGACGTAATGGTACCAAGTGGGTTGCAGTTATTGGCTAAATACCAGAGAGGTGGGGTCTAGATGTAGAAGAAAATTGTAAGCCTCATTGATTAGGACTGGGAAAATAGACCAAATCGTTAGAAAAACCGTGTTCTAAATCGTACCGCACAGTTTGGTTCGGACCGTAGACCGTTAAGTATGGTCTGGTCTGGTCCATGGTCTGTATTATTTTATGTGTTGATCTCTTGGTCTGGTCTGGTCTATACCGCGGTTTACTGGACCAAACCGTGGACCCAACCGACTTGTCAATACGTGTTAACAGCCCATTCGACCACTCTCCCAACTCCCACAACGACATCCAAGTCTCAATCTTAGTTTTGTGAATCTCCTCCCTTCTTCATTCACAATCACATTTAACCAGAGAGTAGAGATAATCGTGTCTCCATATGACATTATGTTAATGTTTATGACGTTATGGTGCAAATTTGGATGCTTTTGCTTTGTATCTTTGTTATGTACTAAGATTTAGGGTATCAAAATTATTCATGCATGTTAGGATTAATATTTTAAGGCAAATAACAATTTTTTTAATTATTGGTTCAATTTTTTCCGTGGTTGACTAAACAAATTATTCATTTCTCGTTGAGTGTGGTTTATCTAGACTAGACCAGACCGAACCAAACTGCACAGGCGTGGTATGGACCAAATCGTATAGTTTGTGGTCTGATCTGTGGTCTATACTTCAGCCTCTCGGTCTGGACCATAGACCGTATGGTCTTGTCTGGACCAGACCGCACCGTTTACCAACCCTATCATTGACCGAACTTGAAGGGTAAATAGCCGGGCACCAATAAACTTCTGCCATAGTCTGGCCCGCCCTATAAACGGCCAATGGAATCATGCATGCATTGCACGCATCGGCAGCAATAAGTAACCACCAACCAATAATAGAGGGACAAGAAAAGATCCCTCACCTCGCCCAGGCACCATCATATTCATATATATCATTTCAGTTTTCAACTACGATACAAATCTACAACACTGCCCATCCATCATCACATGCACCTCTCCCGTTATGTTCTTTTGTCACCCGACAACCTTATCTCTTGCTTACGACGCTGCCCCCATTCGCAATTGGCAGCATTCATTAAGAAAGTAATAATAATCATCTCTTCTTACAAGCAAAGCAAAGCACTCATCCGGCGGGTTGGGGTTTCCAAAGCCATTTTAAGCAAACCCAACACGCATAAGTCAGTAAGGGATCCTATGCATTGCAACCAACAGATTTACTTCATCCCTTCATTCATCAAACTACTACTCTCTTTTTTTTTTCTTTTCTTTTGAAAACACACTCCATATAATAGAATTGCTCCCTCACAAATTACAAATTTTAAGCAAGGCTTCTTAATTAACAGCACAGCACAGAAGAACACGACTACAACAGACAAACACCCACTTCTCTCTCCATTTTTTCCTCTCATTAACTTGACAATCAACACGGAGTTAAAATGAATAAACCCACTGCTAACAGGAAGCTTTAGAAAAAAGGGTATTACCCGCATGACCATCCATCCAATCCCCAACACCCTCTTCTTCTTCTTCCTGTCTCCCCCACTTTCACTGGCTAGTCCTTGTTCCTCGACTTCTCTACTGCCCGCGGGGCTGCAAAACAAATGAAAGTAATACAACTTCTGTCATAATGAAGAAATGAAGTTTGCTAACCAAATAAATATTGTGCGCAACAAGGTACTTCAAATAATAATCGAGATTCATGGTACACGAGGCTAGTAGCCGCTCAGAAATATGTTCCCTTGCTGGTGCCTAGGCAAGCACTTGGGAAATCTCTATCGAAATTAAAAACTATCGTCCGCCTATTGTGAGTTCTCTGCATACTCAGAATCCAGTCATAGCTATCCAGTCCAGATGACAAGATACTGAATTAGAAAATAAATTTAATGACACAACGCACCTAAGCCAATGGCGTCAGAACCCTTCATGATCCTCATCCTCTTGCAAGTCTCAATAAACATCCTAAAGATTAAAGAGTAACTGATTAGAAAATGTCGAGCATTAAGTTCCCACAAGTAGTAGACATGAAGAAAGAGAGGAAGACCAGGTTGCGATAACAACCGTGATTACTCAAAAGTATCAAAGTGAGAATATATGATTACTAAAGCAAATATAAAACAATACAAACTTAATAGAGAACAAGGAAAACAAAGACGAGAGTTACTTTTTTGTTCCAGCAGTCCTTGCATTCTAATCACCAAATAGACGCACATGATTCAAGTACACAACCTCTTACAGAAACACAAACTGAAAATCTAACATGTAAAACAAATAGCTATTTGCTCAACATTGACTGTTGCTCTGGAGATCGGGGTAGTCTAACTGCTATTGTAGTATAATGAAGATTCAGGAATATGTAACAACAATCTCTGAGTATGGAGGACAGGACAGTTGTACCCAAACCCATGGATACCCACCCCAGCAGGTCCATATAGGGTAGAGTATTTACCCAAACTTAGTTAATTGGGTAGGGTGGTACCCAAACCAAACAAGTTTGGGTATTTTACTTGAACCGCTTCGCTCGTTCTTCTACCACCTGTCCTTGCTACACTTGCTTAATAGTCATCTCTATTCAGAAAGAATGAAATCCAAAAATCTCCTAGAAGCCATTCATGCATAGATATACTCCGCACGATATTTCTGGTGCTGACAGTTTAGCAAAAAGGTCTCCTAGTGTCTTCATACAACAAGTAGTAGATTTGTAAAGAATAATTATCATCAGAAACAAAATGATTATAACATTACTTCCACACACGTCCCCCAGCATTTAAATACTTGTATTTCTATTCGAAAGAGTCACCAATTCAGTACTTTAAATTATTAGGCACTTCAATACCGCACAGCCGTAGGAAGATGAGCAATTAGATACCATTAACAGGATGAAGTATCCAATGATATTTGTTCATTTAGCCACACGAAGGACAAGTATCTAAAGCAGATTAACACTTACTCCCACGGAACATCACCAACAAGCATCCAGTCTCCATCTTTATCCTCGTAGGTGAGAACATATTCTGAACCATGGAGAAGATCCTTCAACTTGCTTTCAGTCAGCATCTCCCTTCCTGAAGTTCCATGGGATCCACATTGACCTGCTATCAAAACAGATAAAGCAGAAGTAACTTGAACATCAAAACCAAAACAAATTCTTCTGAGGCGCAAGTTACAGAGTCCTGAAAGTGTCACCCATCCAATTTGAACTGTGATTTAGCTCACCTATAGTAAAACAGCTGAACATCTTCTCGAGAGCCAAAGAGAGTTCCTTATATGCAGAGTAGTTCCTCAGGTCAACTTTCCTGAGATATGGGGCCCCGTCCATGCTGATTTTGACATACAGGGCACTAGCACCCGCCTTTCCATCTACTTCTTCAGTATTCTTAGACAAGGTAGCAAGTGAATTCTTCCTAAACGACCTGATGGGCGGCCAACCCACAACTTGTGCCCTGCCAGATAATAAGCATAAGTTACACTAGCTCCATGCCCAACTTGCATAATCAAGACATAAAAGCTTACTTAGTAGCAGGTGCAGAGCTATTGTTTGCTGAGCTCCTGTTGTTTGCTCTCGGGTCGTTCGAGACAAGGGGCCTCTCCTGTGCAGGCTTTTGCCCTACTACTTCTTTTGCCTTGGCTGGCTGAGAAGACAGGTTCTCCAGAATTGAACCCGGTTTCAGTCCCAAGTTCTGAGATGATCTCGGGGACAGCATAGCATTTACCTCCGAATCAGAAGTAAATTTATCCTGCATCAACCACAAATGAGCAGTAAAATCAAATCAGACCGCATTGGTGAAATAACAAAAGCAGTTGATATTTCACCTCTGAGAAGCCATCCATTGCATCAGAGAACCCTCTTTTATTCCCCAAAAGCAAATTCTTGGGCATGGAAGATCCATGATTATCGTTCACCGGATGCAAGGGGAAGAGGGGCTTCTCGTCAAGTTGAGTAGAGGCAAATAAGCAAAGATCGGAATTCCTTTCAGGAGATTGAGATCCTGGTAATCCAAGCCGAAGCTCGGTCGCCTTAAGATTCAGACTAGTCTTGCTCTCACCAGTGACGGCAGAGATTGCCGAGCTATCCCCAGATGAAGAAGAATCAGACAACCCCATGTAGTTGCGCTCTTTGAGCTCAGCAGACCCGTTTTCACATACGCTCTCTACGGAGGTTGAAGAAGCCAGCAGGGAAGCACTGCTGGCAACCTCCTCTACACCACCAAGCAGTGGCGGAGTCATCGGAATTTACCAATTACGAAAGCTCGGAATTTCCTCCCAGTTAATTACCTGCAAGAGACCAGCTGAAGGTTAAATTCAAGCAACGATGGCGTTTCTTCCGCCACAGGGGTTTCATACTAAATCTAAGTGTGGAAATAGGCAAAGGAGATGATAGATCTAAGAACTAAATTTTCAGGTTAATAACTAATACCCGGGACCTAAAATCAAAGAAAGAATATCGACCCAGAAACAAAGAAGAAGACAAACAAACAAAGGAACAGAAAGGACAATTGCATTTATAGCGAGAAAATTTAAATGCGCGAGAGAGGAGTAGGAAGCATTCAACGTCGAGAAGTAATTGCAGTCGATAATTGTAACTGTCTGCCAAATCCTAGAAAGAACGCAGACAGAGGCACCAGCAAATGTTTCCCCCAATTGAAAAAAGAAAAGGCAGAGTTAATAGAAAATGAAATAATAAAGCGCCGAACCAAATAATATGATGCATGCTCTGTTTGGCAGGCCAGAAAATGCAGGAAAATTTTCGTGCAAGCATGAACAAACGCTGGTTTTGATAACAAAAATAAAAAAAAAACAAGGAAAATCAACTTCACTCTCTCACTTATTCCGCTCGAGAAAGTTCGTCCTTCTTTACTGTTTACTGAAACCAACACCACCACATTACAGAAAAACTACAACTCGCCTCTCGTATTTTCCTCTATTTGCCAGGGAAACGAACAGAAAGAGAGCTAGGAAACACAGCACACCATCCAACTAGCGAAACGCAAAATCGGAATCCGAAAGAAAAGGAAAGGGAAAAGCTACCGGAAGCGGAATCTTCCGCGAAGCTAGCTGCAAAACTTAAAATAGCAAAGCGTATATTACCTTTAGATTAACCGGAATCGTTGATCGGAAGATCGATTACCAAAGAGTTGTTCCCCGGAGAAGAGACCGAAAGAGAGACAGACGGAGACTCGGATAGGGAAGGCAGAGAGAGAGTAGAGAGAGAGGAAAAATTTGGGGGAAAAGAGGACTAAGGACCCTCCATTTGTCACAGAGTAACAAAAGCTTATTTGCTGTCTGATGTGAAGCTCTCTACTTTTATTTCTTTCTTTTAATTGACATTTTCTACTTTTTTTTTTTGTTTTTTTTTTTTTTTGCCTTCTCTTTTTAAGATCGGGCCTTGAAAAAACACTCTTGCTTTTCCTCCTCCAGTTTTTTTCGCGTTTTGGTTTCCTTTATTATTTACTCCGCCGAACAATAATTATTAATAGTTATTATGGTACGGGGAGTTATGATTGGGTGGGAGGGTAGTTGAATCGTCTCCGTTGATCTTTTTAATCGACGGCAGTGGAGTTGGGTAGTAACCGAAACCCGGCCCGAAACTGTAGAGCCTAGCCAGGCTTAAGCCAAGAGAGAGGAGATGGGGTTCTCAATTCTCAATTCTCATCATAGCATTAGCACTGTCTGTCTGTCTCCTCTCATCTTTATCTTTAATCGAAAGGAGGTGGCTGCTAATTAAGGGTTATAGGGAATGAGATAGCATGTTTAGACAGGAACGGATCAGGTCAGTAATCTTATGGTGAGTAACTATGAGTAACTCGCTCACATGAGCATGATATCAGCATCCTCTCTCTTCTGGAAAGCCTTTAATTTTCCCCTCCTTAATCTTTGACGGACGATTTCTCACTCGTTTTAAGTCGAAATTTAATTTTTTTTGCACAGTTAGATCAGATTATTTGTGCTATTCACAATGATATCCACTTTGATATATTTTTCGGAAAAAAAATTGAGCCATTTTATACCAGTCTATACCATATGGTATTGACTGGTATTGAAATAAGAGCATACCTATGGTTTGAAAAGCGTACCATGGTGGTATGACACAAACCAAAACTGTAGGATGGTTGAATACGACTTTTAACATTGTATACCATAAGATACCATAAGATACCACCCCGTACCAGGGTGGTATTGTATGGTATTGTGTGGTATTTTTTTGTCTTGGAATTTGTTCACCCAGAAATTTGTAGATTCAATAGATCATGATGAACTCGTCCCTACTGTGCAAACGTTTTTAAAAACGAATTAAAAACGAAGAAGATACCATATGGTATGCAGTTGGTACCGAGAGGCCAGAATTTTTTTTTTTAAAAAAATATTGAAAATTAATCTCATTTTGTAGAGCACGATGAACTCGTTCCATCTATGCAAAAAAAAAATTAAAATCCGAGTTAAAACGAAAAGGATATGAGTCAATTAAGAAAGCTAGTGAAAATAAAAATGGCCTTTGATTCTTCATCCTTATATCTGGATTTTCTAAATAAAGGGTCCAGATTTGGTTATTGATAGGTGCATAACCCATGGTTATGCACACTAACTTGAGCCTGTTTAGACCATCCACAACCACAATGCGGGTGGGGGAAAATGTGGGAAAAGAGGGAAAAGTGAGAAAATTGGATGATTTGGTCACAATGTGATGGTGGGAAATGTGGATAATCAGTTTAGTATTTTTTTTTGTTAAAATCAATCTATAGTTGATTTCAGGAAAAAAAAATTATGAGTGGAGCTCTCTCCTCTCTCTTCGAAGTTAGTCGGGCGATCCTTTTCCGGCCACTCTTCGCCCTTTGTCGATTGGCCGGCCGCATCGTCACTATATTCCTGAGCAGTTTGCTTGCTATTTCCCTGGCTAATCAGGGATCGGATGAATGGCAATGGACTCCCCATGCTGCGACGACTGTCCGGCAGGAGACGCTCCCACGGATGACGGCCGAGAGGGGCAAACGTCGATGCCGCTACCGCCATCCTAATATGGTGAGCCATAAACGGAAAATTGAGGCACATGAGATTTTGGGACTTGACACTGATCGTCCCCAAAGCAAGCGAAAGCGAGGAGTAAGAGTCCCGGTATGGAGATTCCGTCTTCCTTCGTCTTCCGAATTAGAATGTGAGGAAAGGGATGGTAGGATTCCCCTGTCCTCACTGGTGGAAATTTCAGAGAAAAAGGGAAACGCCCTGGTCGCCTCACATAGTCCCGTCCTTATATCCCGAGATGGGGCAAGGTCACCGGAGCAGCTGAGAGAGAAATAAGAGACCGGAGTCCCCCTGTCTTCGCATGTAGAAATTTCAGAGAAGAAGGTCCTTTACACCTCACATAACCCCGTCCTTAGACCCCGAGATGGGGCAAGGTCGCCGGAGCAGATGGGTGCGCAACAAGTAGCCGGAATACCTCCTCTGCGCCGGCCGGCGACATTCTGTCGTCCGACTCCGATGAAATATTTTTTGAAAACTCGGGATATTCACAACAAACTGAATCTCGGGGGGGCATCCCAATCCCGAAATAATCGCAAGGATTTTGTGAATTTCCCTACTCTAACCGTCTTACAACGGTTGGGGAAAATGTATAGTTCCTATCTACATCCTCCTAGAGTCCCAGTTCTAGTGAAACAACAACTCCCGCTGGGTTATGTTGGCTCTGCCAAACCCCTTTATAGTGCCTGCCATCCAGAAGTCCTCTCTACAGATCTTCGGGGAAGGCAACTGGCAGGGACACTCAGGCAATCCAACCAGCGGAGCCAAGAACGATACTCGGGTATGTGGGAACAATCCCTCTCGGACCTTTTCTTTTTGATTTGGCAGCAGAGAGGCCCTGTTCACAGGATTCCGCTTGCTGTTTCGTGTTTCCCTTGGTCCATTACTGATCATTGTGGCTATATGTTATTGGAATGTAATGCTGGTTCTGTGACTATATCTCAGGTCAACAATATGACTAGCATCAAGAACGACCAGGTCGTTCATTTCTCCCTCGATGAGGTCCAGTCGGCCAGGATCCGGCACTCGAGGACTCTCCTGGGCACACTGTTCACTGATAGCAGAATCACGACTGCTGAGCTGCGAGATGCCATCAATAAGTCATGGCAAGGGCAAGGGCGCATCAAGGTGAAGCTGGGGGCACACAACCTATTCGAGTTTGTGCTCCCGAGCGAAACAACCAAGAATTGGGTGCTCAAACAGTCTCCCTGGGTGGTTGCTGACAAAATCTTACACCTTCGACCCTGGGTCCCCACCATCACCCAACGTACTTTCGATGAGCTTGCTGTTGCTCCGTTCAAGGTACAGATGTGGGAAATCCAAGAGGATTGTTGTACCCAAAGATTTGGGCGGACAATCGCGACTGCCATGCTGGGTCGTGTCTTGGAGGCAGGAATATACTCTTGTACTGAATCGGGGCAGCGATTTATAAAAATCAAAGCTCTGATAGACTTCTCCAAGCCTCTCCGATCTCAAGTCTTGCCGACTTTTTGCTATAAATGTGGCCGTGTGGGACATTCCCGGCAGACCTGCTCCTTCGACCCGCCTACTCGATATGAACATTTTGGTCACCATATGTCGGCCAAAAAGCTGGGAAGGAAGGTCTTCGAGGAAGACGAGGGTGTACCAGCCTTCCATGGCAACCCCAAGTCGGTCTGGGTCAACACGACTGCACTTGAGCGCAGGGAGGTCCGACAGGCAAAACCTCCCGCGAATACTAATAAGAGAGCGACAGGGCTTACCGGGAGACCGACGGTGGAAGCGAGTCCTCTGTGGATGGGTTCTTCAACTCAACCCTTCTTGACAACATAACCAAGGCCACAACAGGAGAGGAATCCAACTCGATTCCTGATCGTGAAAAGCCCAAAGCTGCATTTGGGGAGGCTGAGCCGCCGGGGCAAACTCAAGAAAGCTTGCGAGGACAGCTCCATTGATCGGCCGACAGAAGATGTTGATATTTCCAGTTCTCGGCGACGTCGGCTTTTACTCGAGGACGAATAAGAGGACGAATTTTTCGTGCAAACCATTCCCAATTCAAATGCGGAATGTCCTTTGAATGGTGCTATAAGAGCTGCGAAGATGGCTGAGAAGGCTAGCGGTTTTGGCGAGACTCCTGCCCCTGGGCGTCCCTCTCATCTGCAATCGAAGAAGGGGGGAATTCGGAAGGGGGGAGGCTCACCTCTAGTGGCAAGGGAGAAAGCTCCTCAGCCTCGCAAGCAGCGGATCCGCCTGGCGAAGTCAGCCAGCTCCAAAAGCAAGGGGACTGCTCGGCCCTAGTTGATGGAAAAGGCGGATGGAGGCCTGGTCGAGGATACGCCGGCCCAAACTGAATCCTTGGGCCCGCAGGCAGTGAGGGCCGATGTCTTGGGCCCACAGTCAATGGCTGTTACCAAAGAGGGCATGAACTCGGTTGAGTCGGTTTCTGAAGAGGAGATCCACAATTTTGAAATCCGCCGCAGTGATCCGAAAGGGAAAGAAGTTAATTCCCGGGTGGCGCATTCGACCCGCGTGCGCCAGGCTGTGCAAGCTTTTGAAAATGGGCTATCATTGAATGAGTCGGCCCAGGTCCAAAAGGCGAAATGCCCTCCGGCTGTGGAACCTATGATTGTGGAGAAAGAGGCAATGAAGGAGAGTAGCCTTATTGTCAATGACATTAACGAATATGGCTCCAATTTTTCGGGCCCTAGTGATGAGGGGAAGAAACGTCGAATTGAAGAGGTCGAGGGAGATATTTCTGAATCCCCGTCTCCCAAGAAACTGTTTGTGGAAGACCAGGATGATCTGGAAACGGTGGAGGTAGCCAGCCGGAAATGGCCCCATCCAGATAAATGAGGCTTCTTGTCTGGAATGTGAGAGGGATTGGACCGTCCCTCACATTCCAAACTGCTGTAGGCTTAATTAAGTCTAATAAACCGGATCTCGTGTTCTTCTCTGAGACACGATCGAGCCGAAAAGTAGTCACTCGCCGTATGCGGGGGTTAGGTTTTGATTCTTCTTGTTGTTTCTTCGTTGATGCAATTGAGGCATCCGGAGGTTTAGTTGTTGCTTGGTCCCCCGAAGTTCATGCTTCGGTGTTTTTTCATTCCAACTTTTGTATTTGCATTCAAATAAATGAGAATGAGTTCTCCTATATTGTGGTTTTTGTGTATATTAGTTGCCATACTTCGCTGAGAGCTACTCAAATAGCCCAATTGCGCGATATTTGTGATGGTTTCCATCTTCCTTTTATCGTCTTGGGAGATTTTAACTCTACCCTCGGTGCGGGAGAAAAAGATGGTGATTTACCTTGGAATGCGAGTCATTCTGTTGCCCTTAGGGACTTTATTCAAGACCTGGGTCTTCATGATCCGGGGTATCAGGGTGATCAATTTACTTGGTCAAACAGGCGGATGGGGAGTGCCTGTATTCGT